TCACTTATTGTTTCACATGTTATTGAAAAGTTATTGGAAAGTTATATGAACTGTTATATGAAATGAAATACATGGCTTGGTATCGATTGGACAAGTATCCAACGACTACAAATGTTATCATTGAGCTCAACCCCATTGGTAGTTGATTGAATCGAGCCGACAAGGGTTTGGTCGTGACAATTAATGAGCCTTGGGTAAAGTTATAAGGAATCTTGTAGTATGAGAGACTCTTGATTCCGGTATACTCGAGTAATACCACAGTGCAAGTGTTTGGAGTGCGGGCCCGGTAGGGGGATGTTTGGTGGAAGGAATGGGAGAGAAGAGGAGTCTACGGTTGGTTACTCTTCAACATTGACGGAGGGTCAATGAGGTTGGATCAAGAATGGAAGCGTGGAAATGGGCTCTTGAGAGCCACCCGTATCCTTTTATCCTCATTATTAATGTGTGGCTTTATTTATTTTGGGTAAATTGGACTGTTAAGCTTGATGTATCCATGAACTTGGTTGCTTGAGTTGTATTCTCACTGGGCAATTAGCTCACCCCGTTCCTTTTGTTTTCCTTACAGGAATATGACTCTTTTGGAATGAATTTTGATAAATGGTTGCCGAATGAACTAGATGAATGACTCTTTTGTATTGTATATAAAATGGGACCCTAAATGTATCATTAGGGCCGTTTTCACTTTTGTTTTGGCAAACCATATATGTAGTGACTTTTGTATCACTTTTAAATGACATTTTGGTTTGTAAAGGCTAAATGTTATGTGGTATATGTAATTCGATGTTTGGTTGGGTACGGACGAGTCGGTTACTATTCATGGCCGACTCCGGATTTCATTTTCTTTTATTTTGGGTTATTTTGCCCTTTTGCCTTATTTGCGCGCGTTATAAGTTCCGGAACGTGGAAGATCGCTCTATACTGTACCGTTAGTCCTGGCGAGAGCTGGGCAGGCAGTCCGCTAACCCCTTTGGTTCGCCTTAGGGGAAGGTGGGGCTGTCACATTTACCGCACTCGTGCTCTTTCAAATGAAATTATATTCGAATTTTGCTATGTGAATTCATATCCGACTTGTACATGGTAATGTGGATGTGATTCGTATTTGTTTTGATTCGTATATGTGATCTGTATTTGTGATTCCTATTTGGAATCGTCGATTTGAGCGTTGCTCGTCGACTTATATTCGTATTCGTATTTGTATTCGTATTCATATTCGTATTCGGGGGACGCCCAAACTCGTTGGTTAACTTTGCGAATCGAGCCAGCATGGGCTTGGTCGATAAGCTTAGCCAACCATGAGATATTCGTAGAGCATGATCTATTGGAGAGATCTTGCTCGGCATTACTTGTGTAGTATTGCCATGATATACTCGAGTATTATCAAAAACTTTGATAAGCGGGCTCGGTAAGGGGGTGTAACGGTGACGGGATTCGAAGAAAAGTGATGTATCTACGGATTTGATACTTATGTGGTTGACGGAGTGTCAACGAAAAATGTGATCAAGACTTCGACTCGACTACATGGAATTTAGCTCCTGAGAGCTACAGTATCCTTGAATTGTTTCTGTTTATTTTTCCTATTCGAAATGTGAATTATTCGAACTTTATAGCTTTACTTACTATGTAATTTGTGGCTATTTGGATTATGTGTTTGCATGTGTGTTTCTTGGCCTCACTAAGTATTGGCTCATCCCATTAATTTGTTTTCCTTAACAGGTTGGATTGGAAGATTTTGGAAAAGCCGACTAGATTATACTTTTGATTGGAATCTGAGTTGTAAATGTTTAGTCGACTTTTAATGGTTGTATTTTGGGACTTGATGTATCTTTTGTGAACATGATGTAGGATTTGAATATTTAGTTAAGAAAGCGACTTTTCTTTATTTCGACTTGTAGTATTTGGTATGTATCTTTAAGTTCGATTTGAATTGTCTTGAGTCCTGGCGAGAGCTGGGCAGGCGTCCTGCGGATACCCTTGGGTTCGCCCTTGGGAGAAGTGGGGGCGTCACAGTAATGCTCTAATTCATCATAATAATGCACATTTTATACTTGCATACATGTATTAGTAGCATGATAACCTCCACACAAGTCACAAATCATATGATAAGAATTAAAAGTATTAACATTCCTCCCTTGCTCAATTTCATGCATAATTGTGTCCATTTGAACTTGTAACATCATAACGTCAAATTTAGTCTTTAAGCACCTTAAACCATCTTCAAAAGACATACATTCAGTAAATTCTTGGTTACCTCTGTTGAAGGAGTTTTGCACCTGGTAACCATCCATTGCCAATCTTCCACTTCTCAAGCATTGTCCTCCAAATTGATCTATCCTCCTCATCACCTAAAATTGCTTTTGAACAATTTAAGAGCAAGATTAGTAAGAGAATAGGTGATAAAACACATACACACAAAAATAACAGAAAATTACATTCACACTATAACTAATGAAATGTCTAAACTAATAAAGTTGATCTTCACACCGATATTGCCAAATCTTCCCCGGCAACGGCGCCAAAAACTTGAATGGATTTTAATATACGTATAAGTTTAAAAAAATCGAATTACACCCGTTCACTGCAAGTATACAGGTCAACTAGAAGTTTAGGGTATATATCTGGTCGATCCCATAGGGAAGAGTGAACAATTACCGGTATTACTAAAGTTTCTCTATTATTTAGACAATCAATGAATTATAACAAATTTAACCTACCGAAATTATACAAAATAACAACTAAAAGCTCCTTAGGTTGTGGTATCCCCAAGTACTCATGCAAGTGTTATATTTGGATCATTGAATACTACATCTAGGCTAGTTATGGTGTAATTTCCTTATGCATTTGAATCCTACTTTTGTAGTGAATCAATTATACTTATAACTAATCCATATCTATTCTCATGGTTATGAAATTAGCTACAAGTTCATTTCTTCAGTGAAATTACATGAAATGAATCACTAAAAACCACATACGTGTTTATGGTGTAATTTCCTTATGCATTTGAATCCTACTTTTGTAGTGAATCAATTATACTTATAACTAATCCATACCTATTCTTATGGATATGAAATCATCTACAAGTTCATTTCTTCAGTGAAATTACATGAAATGAATCACTAAAAACCACATAGGTGCACCTCAACTTCCGTGAGTGTACTCCCTATGTTTAGCACTTCTTGAACTAGTGTTAAATCTCAATTTTCATTGCAGAAACAACACCTTAGATAATCACAATCAATGGTACTAGATTAATCATGATTTAAAGAGCCAAAGTGCTAAATAACTTGCTCAAATCATAGCAATCAAATAACCAAATAATAAACACTAACAATTATAGAAAGTTCAACCAAACCCAAGGCATAAACTTTAGAGACACATATTGAACACAAAATCCAGAACTTGTACATCAACTAAACTTAGAGTCCAATACAAAAGATAAAGAGTTGGAAAAGAGATAACCCTTGTCACTTGAGCTTCAACTCCTCCTTCTTCATCTCCATTTTCATCCTAATCTAGCTAATTTACAAGAATTGATGAACTATTAGCTAAATTATCCTACACTAAGAAGAATGGCAGAGCTACATTTTTGCAGTCCAAGCTTTCTCCCGTATCTCTCTCTATTCTCCCTTCAATCTTGATAGCTTTGGCTATATAAAGGTGAAAGTTGGTCAAGAAGTGAGGTTTACACCTTCCTTTTACCAATTAGGAATGTTTCTCACATGTCTAGCATCACATGTGACTTAGTGGAGGTGAAATTGAGTTTTCTGCATAAAAAGCAGCCTTCTCTGACTACAATCCGGCCACAAATCCGGCCAAGTTCCGGCCGGATTGCTGCAGTGACATTTTGGTGCACTTTTGTTTAATTTCCAACTCTGCTCCGATTTTGCATCAACTTCAACTGAACTTTTATTGATGGTAAACGCTGGTTTAGCTCTTGACCAAAACATAAAACTTGTAGCCCTTTGATTTAGCTTTCCAATGCATCAAGAATCACCTCATTTGGATTTGTGTAGGCTGAGAAATGACCGAAATACCCTTGACTGCTCACTGCCCTGTTTCAGCTTTGACCAATGGACATTAGTTACTGTAATTCGGCTTTTTGACCTGAAAAACCTTCAAACTAGATTCGGATGTCTTCACAAAAGTTGTAGATCTATCTCTTATCTTCAAATTGGTTTAAGAATCATCTCAATCCGATCATTGTACCTCAAGTTATAGCCAAAATACGAAAATGTTTCAAAACTGTCAAAATACACAAAATCCAAGTAAAAAATGATAAAAACTTCATTTAACCACTTAAATGCATTTTTCACCAGTTATAGCCAAAATGATTCATTTTCTTCCAGTCATATAACCAAAGTGACTAAAAATAATATTAAATGTCATACAATTATTACGTAAATTAGTCACTTATCAATTGGCATTAGTTTATTTGTTTCTTTTGGAGTTTATTTCACTTTATTTTCTAATAATTTTGCTAGTTTATGTCTCGCTCTTCTTGCATAGGTGAATTATTCTTTGATTCTAAGATTGAGAAGGCCGCGTGTGGATCCCAAGGCTTTAACTTGGCAATTGAGTTGGCAAATTCTTCACATGACAATTCGAGTGATTTAGAGGAAGAAGAAACCACGATGAACAATAATCAAACACCGAAGGAATTGGCTGCTTCTGACTTAAATCAACAGTTATTATGCATTGCTTTGCCAAATTTAGATGAAAATACTTCGTTTGAGTTAAAATTTGGCTTAATTAACCTCTTTCCTTCTTTTCATAGTTTTCCAAGTAAAGAGCTCTACAAACACTTGCAAGTGTTCGATGTAGTATGTTCAAGTATAAAGCTTCTTGGAGTTACTAAAGAACAGATAAAGATGAGGGTGTTTTCCTTCTCCCTTAAGGATTCAGCAAAAGACTGCTTGTATTATTTGCCCGTAGGGAGTATCACAACGTAGACGGAGTTGAAGAAGAAATTTTTAGAAAAGTATTTTCCTGCCTCCCGAGTTGCAAGTTTGAGAAAAGAGATATGTAATATCAAACAATAACATGGGGAATCCTTATATGACTACTGGGAGAGATTCAATAAATTGTGCACCAAATGCCCACAACATTAGTTATGCAATTAATTATTGATTCAGCACTTTTATGAAGGCTCCATCTATCTAATCGGAATATCATTCATGCCATGAGTGGTAGAGCACTGATGAACAAGACCCCCAGAGAGGCGTAGGAGTTGATTAAAAGAATGGTAGATAATTCGCAACAATTTGGCTTTCACAATTATATTCCTATTCATAGAGTGAATGAGGTAGATATTTCATCTATTAAACAACAATTATTCGAACTCACCTCTTTTGTGTGACAATTGGCTGTTAGGGAATTCACAGCATGCCAAAGTGTGTGGGATTTGCATGAATATAGGTCACTCCACGAATATGTGTCACAATGCTTCGAGAGAAGGGTGTTGAACAAGTAAATATGGTTGGTAACGTGCCCACGCTACGTAAGTAATATGATCTATACTTCAATACTTATAAGTCGGGTTGGAGGGATCACCTAAATCTTAGTTATGAAGGGAATAGGCAACCAAATTTTTTTTCAAAATAGACAGCAAGGGTGTAGCCTCAATACCAGCTAAAGCCTCAACCTACGTCTTCTAATTCAAGTAATTCTTTAGAAAATATTGTTAAAACATTAGCCTCTAACACTTTATAATTTCAACAAGAGATGAAGTCAAGCATACACAATTTGGAGAATCACGTGAGTCAATTTTTTTTTTGGTCAAAAAGTGAGTCAAAAATTGAGTCAATTAGCAACTGTAGTAAATCATCTAGAAACCAAAGTGGAAGAACAGTTGCCATCACAACTTGAGGTGAATCCCAAGAGTGTGAGTGCTATGACCCTTAGGAGTGGCAAAGAGATAGAGGAATCCAAGTTGATCAGTCCAAAGGATCAAAGTGAAAATCAAATTGCAAAGGAGATCGAAGAAGAAGGACAAAATAATAAAAGCCCTAAGTGTCGCGCCCCATTTTTTGAATAAATAAATAAATAGTTTAAAAAATGTATTTTTTGTGATTGGAAAATGATTTTTGTGAGTTGAAAAGACATAGGTCTCAATGGGACTTGGAAAGCGACGATTCGACCCAAAAATAGTTTTAAAAAAGGTTTTGAAATGAAAAGTTTGGAGTCGCCACTTGGTAATGATTTAAGGTGTACCAAGTCACCTAAAAAATGAGTTTTAAAGTCAAGTAATAATAAACCCTTTTTAAAACGACTCCTAGTCTACGTAAAACAAAGAAAAAGGTTCGGGAGTCACGTTTGACAAAGGGGAAGGCAAGGATAGACTCCAAGGCACCCCTTTGACCTAGCCAAGGCTAGTTGCGTGACTTAACCCTAACTTTCCTAACTTTCTACCCAGGGTATGTATTGCATGTTGGATTATGCCTATATGAATGCAAAAACGAAAAAATGCAATCCTAAATTCTATGATGTCTCTCGTGAGGTTTTTGGTCCCAGACCACATGAATTGTGGCGGCCAATAAAGGGAAACCTCATAGAGGTCGATTGATGCAAATGGTGACTCAAGTGCAAGTGTGCAAGTGTATGAAGAGATTCATGTATGAAATGGTGTAAAAAAACGAAGTGTTTGTGTGCGCATGTGAAGAGAAAGTTCACGTGTGAATTTGGATGAAAAATCAAAGTATTAGTATGTGAGTGTGTAAAGAAAGTGCACGTGTGAATTTGGATGAAAAATCAAAGTATTAGTGTGTGCAAATGAATGAAGATAGAATAGTACATATATAAGTGAAACTTGAATTTCATTTGTGAAGTAAAGTAAATAAATGATAAAGATGTAGTGAAAAAATATGGATTGAGAAATGTAAGAGAAATGTGATTAAAAGAGTATGGAAGTGATAAAAATGAAAGTATGACCCTAGGGGAATGCAACAAGTCGGGTACGGGGATGACGCCTAATTCTTCGACTTTGATTTTCCCTCGGATTAGAAGGCGAAACTAGCGTGCTAAGGCTATCAAGTAGCCACACTCGCTCGTTTCCCTTATCGGAAGGGGATTTTCACGCAAATGAACCCTAACTAGCATGAGATGCAAGTCCTAAAGTGAAGGGGAAGGGGTTTGAGGAACATACCAAATGATAAACTAAGGAAAAATGCGTGATATGTGGTGATCATGCACTTAATGAAAAAGGAAAAAAAAACCTATTGGGTCTAGCATTGGACTAGCCCATCCTATGAATTCCGACTAGCGTTGGACTAGTGGAAACGATAAAAGAAGCCACAACTAGCGTTGGACTAGTGTGGTGACGTACATTCATCCATTCCATTCATCCACACTATAAAAAGCGAGTAGACATGCGAATCACTTATAAACACGTAGCACATAACACTTAGCATGCTTGACTAGATGCAAAATCCTAATAAAGCATTTAACATATAACACATAGGCATGCAACCATTACATTTGCTAACTAAAACAAAAGGGAAAGGGAAAATGGACCAAATTACTTGCTACGCCCTATCTATTACAAGCCCAGAGGTGTACACATACCCCATTAATAAAAATCAAAAGTAAATGAAATAACTGAAAGGAAATAAGGAGAGGCTAGGAAAGCAAGTAGACATGCAAATTTCAATTAGCACATTAGTCACATAAGAGAAACAAAAAAAAAATAAAAGGAATTATACCACTCCCTTTTGTAGTGTTAAATGGACGAGACTTAAACTGGGCTAAGTCACCAACTAACGGGATAGCATGTGCTAAAACCATTCAAAGCAAAGGATTAACGTACCAATTTAGTTATAAGATATAAACAAAACAATTGGAATCTACCAAATCATCAAATTTTCCCCCAATTGCAACTTAATGAGGTAAAAAAGCTAATTAAAGACCAAGCAAAGGCATGATCATCCAACCTCCAAGCATAACATCTACTAAGACCCAAATGCAAGCACTACTCAAATCATTTGAACCTAATTGAAGCATTTAAAAACTCAAAGGTCCCCAAGTAAAAATTAAAATCCAAGCAAACATCATATCTCAAGAATCCAAGAGTGAATGAAGGTCCATGAATGGTTTAAACTTGCATTTCTAGGACCCAATAACGACCACTAATCAATCGCAATCAACGTCAAAATGAATCATCAAAGAGCTTCAAAGGTCCCCAAAATAATAAAGATCAATTAATGATTCAAATGCAAACACCTTAGAACCTAATTGCAAGACATTGGAATGTAATTGGGTCATAATGCATTGCTGCAAAAATCACAGGGACCCAATTGATTAGCTTTCTCAAATTTGTGGGTCATAATAGGACAAGGGGAGACTCGGGGGGTTAAAGTGAAATTCCTGAGATTATTTCCATGCATGCAAAATACGCAAATCTGAAGCTTTCTGCAAAACTGAAGCTTTCTATCAAAACCAAATGAACATCTGCTACATTTCTCCTTCAACCACAGATTTCACAAAAACAACATAAACCTCAACCAAACTCTCTCAAACCAATGTCCCAACTTTGAGTCAAGCAACAAAACATTCAACTTCCACATCCAAAACAAATCAAAACATAAAAGTAAAAACCATGCAAATGCTGGGAAATTTTATGCAAAATGATTCGACAATTCTGGTTTGTTCACTTTCCAGCAAGTGCTTGGAACTGATTCAAATGTTTTCTAGACCTAACCATGCAAACTCAAAACAGATTCGACCCTAAGACAGCCAAGACAACATGCCAAAAGTTATAAAAACCAAGACTGCAGCAACCCAAGAGAAAAGGAAAACTTGTTTGCACTGCTGCTGCCACATGCCTAGAGCATCAAACTTGTTGCAGCAGATTGTTACTCTCAAATTGCAGTAATCACGTACAACAGCTCATCATTTGACATGCAAACAGACTCAAAGGCATCAAACAAGCTAAACCAGAACCTCAGCTACTCAAAGAAGGAAGTCCAACTTCATCAACATGGGGAGGCAAAAGAAACGTTATGGTCTGCTGCAAATTAGCCATTTTTCTGCGAGCTTACAGCTTGATAACAACCCAGAAAAAGGACCAAAACATTGTAAACAAAAGCTCAAATCTCATCAATTTTTCTATAATCATTACTGACATAAAATTGTGCATGCAAACAGGGTGCAGAATCCAGCTTCATGGGATATTTCACGACAGCTTTAGAAGCTGTTAATTACGCGAGCTATAAAAGTGTATTGCAGCAAACAAATTCAAACATTGTCATGCTTAAACTTAGCCCCTAAGACAAACAAGATGCCAAACATGCCATGGGTTTAAACTTTTAACAGAAAAACACATGCAAAGCTGGAAATTTTTTCTTCTTGCAGCACCTTGTCTTCGGCTTCAAGAAGACGCAGGAAAACAGCCATGAATGACCAAAAAAAAAAATGAGACATGAAAACCAGACATTGATCAAACATGAACTCAGAAATCTGGTGAGAACCATCAAGAGTAAAAAACAAATCATGACTGGCTGCTATAAGCATGAAAGGTTGCAGCAAAAAAAATGAGAAAAAGAAAAGGCCCTGCGTCGGCATACATATCTTTGTTGCAGCAGTAGATTTTATGCCCAAACTTCAACAAAATGAAGACCGACCCATGAAACCACATTATCAAGCATTGATTTCAACCCACAATCGTAAAACCTTTGAATTCAAGCACAAAAATTTAGAAACAAAGATGCAAACTTTCGGCAAGAATTTTTCTACGTTTTCTTTTTTTATCCGAAGCATACATATGGTCATGAACTTGAAACAATGAACCACGACACATCCTTATAGAAGATCTATATTTCTGCAACAAAAAAAAAACCAAATCCAAACCCATCCCATCTTCTACCAGATGTACAATCGATAACGTACAGGGAGGAAAACATAAACAGGCATCACAGCAAAGGTTTCGATACTTTCTGAAATGAATCCTATATCTATGAGGCAGAATATATAAAAAAATGATGAAAGCATTACCTTTGGCCCTTCTAAAAGGCAAAGTACGACAGGAGGTGATCGGAAGAGCGGGTCACTGCAACGTTCCTCCACTGATGGATGATTCCAGAAAACGTTGGGCTGCTTCTTTTCTCTTAATCTTCTCTG